GGGGGGGGGGGGGGGGGGGGGGGGGGGGGGACTGGGACAAAGAGAGCAGGAAGATTAGGGAGCAAGGGCTACAGAGCCTGGGCCCTGTTATCACTTAAACAGCACTGACCCCAGGCACAAGGAGGAGCCCTGACCCTGGGCTTGGTGTTTCCCGTCCAGCTGCCAACTCCCCCTCCTGTCCCTCCAAGCCCTGCACTGTGCCTAACCCTAGCGTCCTCCACCCCCAGCCAGCAGCTGTCCTTGCCTATCTCTCCCATAGCGAAACCTGCCTGTCCATTTGTCTGCCTCCCCCACCCCACCTGACCCTGTCACTCAGGCCTCCAGAGTGGCAGCCCAGAATGGAGCCCAGGCCTGGCCATTTCCCACCAGCATAGATGGAGCCCTGGGAGTGGGGCAGAGGGGCTCACAGCCATCCAGGAACTGAAGGTGGTCATATAAAAAACTGTAAATTGGTCATATAAAAAAAAAATCCACGTGTATAGCTTCTCTCCCACTAGATGGGCCTTTTTAAAGCTACTCCCCCAAGCAGCAAGGTTAGGATTGGTAACTCAGCTGGCCAACAGGGACACCCTGGGAAGTTACCCCCTGAGATCCCTGGGGCTGGAGAGCCAGTGGCCCCAGGGTAGCCCCCTCTTCCCGATCAGCTGCTCTCCCCATGTATCAAGGCCAGGGATACTCGCTGGTCTACCAAAGAGGCCCCAGAGAGCTGTGCCAGCCAGTAGGGCCATCCCCACAACAGGCCAAGATTCTAGGGACTCCGGCCTCCCTCACTGAGAAGGTGCCTTTCTTAGGGTCACAACCAAATTTGGCCATAGTAAACCTGACTGCTTCCTCTATATACGGCCTCCAATCCAATCACCCATCCCAAGTTCTGGAGCCCCTGCCTTTCCCATCCCACACCCCTCCCGACCGGCTCCTACCGACTCAGCTCAGGCCTCCCATCCCCTTAGGTCACCAGGCTCCCTCAGGCTCCCCATATGCCTTCAGAGCCCGCCTGTGGCAGGAAGGTGCTGCCCTGTCCTTTTGGTCTCTAGGCCTCACGTCCCCAACTCCAGCCCTTCCTTCACACCTTTGAGTCATTCAGAACATCAGCTTCTGGTGGCTGAGTCTGCCAAGGGGACCCTCAGACCCCTTAACTTGAGGTCCATCGCTATAGCGGGCCTCTCCCTGACCCTGATGGCAGGGGCCATAGGCAAAGCCCCAGAGCCCTCCTGCCAGGATGCAGAGGCTACTCAGCCAGAGAGCGTCTCTCTCACAGTGCCTCCAGGGTCACCTGCTCCTTGTTCCACGGACACAGAGTGTCACTGTCCCAGCAGATGAACAGACAACCCAGCCTATGCCATGTCCCGGCCCCCTACCCCCACTCCATGGGTAACACCTGGGCCCCAAGGAAAAGAACAGAAGACAACATGTCGGCTACAGAGGGGACCCTTTACTTGCGGGGGTGTACAATCCCCAGGTCCCACCCCGTCAGCCCCTGACAAGAGCCCATGCAAGCGCCTCCCTTCCGCACCGCGCGCCCATCCCCGGCCGGTCGCCTGACGACGTGTTCGGGTGCCAGGGCGCCGGCACAGTCCCGGGGCCGGGCCGTGGGCCGTGGCGCCCCCCACTAGGGGGGCAGGAGAGCGGGTGCGCCCCGCCGGCCCCTCCCGACCATCCCTCCATTCAGCCCGCGCCAGCCCGCGCACCCTCCCCCGCTAACTTTCCCCCACTCACCACCCCATGGACCAGAAACTCAAAAAGTTTGCTTTTCGTGGCCTTGCGCGCCCCTCCGGCAACTTCGTCCGCGGCCATCGGGGTGGGCTCCGCGGCTGCGCTCACTCTCTCTCTCTCTTCCTCTTTCTTTCCCTTTTCTGCCTTTTTTTTCCTCCAACTCTCCCCTCTGAGTCCTGCTGGGCTCTCTCACACTTCTACTCGAGCGGAGTGGGGAGGGGGCCCCTTCAGGGCTGCCCTGACGGCCCACGGCCCACGCCGCCGCCGCNTCAGCACTATGCTCTAAACAACTGAGCTAACTGGACAGCCCTATTGCTGGTACATTTTAAAGCATGCTGCCCTTCACTGCATGACTTACAGGTCTGTGTTGCTGGGGGTCCAGCATGCTGGATTGGGGGCAAGATTTGTGCTGCTTCCACTCAAATGAAAAACAATCCCCCCTTACTGTAAAAATGAAATGACATGATTGCCAGCAGTGTTTAGTGAGGGCCTTCCAGCACCACCAACCACTTTGGTTTCTTTCCCTCTGCAGGGGCCGGGACTCCCCAATGCTCATGGTTACTGGTCCCCCACACTGCACTTGAGGCCCAAATGCTGGTTCTCACCTCTCANCCGGCGTCCACAGATGTGGGTGCCCTTGTCTCGCGCGCCGTGGGTGTCCGCGCCCGTCGGTGGCCCGGCGCGGCGGCGGTGGGTGTGGGTGTCGGGGTGCCTGCCTCCACGACAGCCTCCCGTGCGTGCGCGCGCGTGCCTGTGTGTGGCAGGACGTGGCCTGTGCCTTCGGCTCTGTGCGAGTCTATTTCTGGGTATGTGAGTCTTTGTCTCTGTGTGAGAAAGTGAGGGCAACAGGGGAAGGATTTCGGAAAGAGGGCCATGGATTGGGAGCTCCTGAGAACAGGAAGACAAAGTGTTGGGAATGGCACAGGGCCGGGTGGGTGCTTGGGGGGTGGGGTGGAAAGAATGAGACAGGCAGGGCTTGATGGCCTTGGAGTGCCAGGTGGGGGACCCAGAGGAGCTTGGGCAACCGGGTATGGTGGGGCCAGCCTCAAGACCCCAAAGAAAGCAGGGGTGCGGGGTGGGGTGATGAGGGAGCCCCAGAAGGGGCGGCGTGGAGGAAGCTGGCAGTCCCTGGGGTGGCGGACAGACAAATCCTGAGATGCCCAGGCTGGGAGCCCTGGCCCCGCCCATGCCCCCAAAGGCCACACCCTCTCTCCTCCTGGAGGAGGAAGCCAAGGACTTTGGGACAACAGTTTGGGGGCCTGCTGGGGCTGCACTGTCAGAACCCAGGTGAGGGCAGGGCAACGCCTGGGGGAGTCTGGTGGGAACACTTATTTGAAGTTGGGCCCTGAAGACCCAGCGTTACACTGAGGAGTCCTGACCCTTCACCCTTCACAATGCCTTTGCCCTGGGAGTCTGCCTGCAGCACGATTTCTTTTGGGTCATGGTTGTGCTCCTGGCTGTCACTGTCCATTTAGGTGCCCACTGTCAATCTGAAAGGCCAGAGAGGGCATCTGGTCCAGTATGCCCTTCCTCTACCCCTCGCTTGCAGGTGACCTAGAGATCCCCTTTCCACCAAATCTCTCCCAAGGTATTGCCCCAGGCCCCCCCCGCCCCCACCCCACCACCAACACACACACACAGACTGGGCCCTGGTAGGGTCCAGTAGGGCTGGGCGGGTGGGCTGCCTCTGTCAGCCATAGGCCATGAAGGTAGCTGCTGGTAACCTGGGGAGGTGATCTGCTCCAGGCTGTGCTAACCTCCAAAACCCCCACTCACTCTCATTTCTAAGCCCCTACTCCCACCATTTTTTGCCTGGAATGTGATTCACCTCCCCTCTGCCTGTCCAGATCACACCCATCCTTTAGAGCCCAGCTCAGGCCCCACCTCCTACAGGAAGCCTTCCCTGGTCCCACTTGTGTTCCTGGATTTTTCTCTTCTCTGAATGTCCGTTGCTATCTACCCT